GGGGGCAGCACGGCCAGCAGCGGCTACTGCAGCCAGGAGGACTCCGACTCCGAGCCCGAGCTCTTCTACACCGCCCGCACCTCCCTCGGCCGCCGCCCGCGCCGCAGACAGGTCGGTTCCCGGGGCCGCCGGCCGTGACGTCATGGGGGGGAAACCGGGTGACGTCAGTCGGGGGGGAGCGCACCCACCCCCCTCCTGCCCCCCCACCCCCAGGCTGGGTGATGGGGAACGGGCCAGGGTGGTCCCGGTGCGGGGGTAGTCGTTGCCCCACCGTGGGGAAAACACGGGGTGAGCGCAGTCCTGCCCTGGGGGAGATGTGGGGTGAGCGTGGTCTTGCTGTGGGGTGAGTGTGGGGGTGAGAATGGCCCCTATGGCCCCCCCACCCCTACGTGAGGATGAGTGTGACCCTGCCACTGGGATAAGGGTGGCCGGGTCGTGGGGCAGGGCGACCCTGTCCACTTGGATGTGGCACTGGGTGGGCAGATGTGGGGCGAGGGGGGGGTTGCCACCTGGGACAGCTACCCCATGGTCCCCCGGACCCACAGCCGCTCCCAGAGGGGGTGAAGGACAGTGCTTGGGGGGCCTCAGGGTGAGCCCCCCCCCCGCCCCAGGCAGCCTCAGAGCTGTCCCCATCCTGCAGGGACCCCCCCAGGACCCGGCAGTGCCTGTGTGCCGTGGGGTGGCCGTCAGGGCTGGGGGCCTCGGGTGCTCCCCAGCCCCACGGTGCCGTGGGGACAACACTTGCAGCTCTGCGTGGTGGCTCCGCAGCCCCACGTAAATACTCATTAGTGGGTGGTGGGGACGCCGAGCCGGGATGCCCGGGTCCAGGTGCTCCCCAGCCCCACGGTGCCGTGGGGACAACACTTGCAGCTCTGCGTGGTGGCTCCGCAGCCCCACGTAAATACTCATTAGTGGGTGGTGGGGACGCCGAGCCGGGATGCCCTGTGTGGGGCCGGCGCTTTGAAGCGGGGTGCCGGCGGCACGGGCGGGCTGCACCCCTCAGCCCAGCCCTCCTGCCCCAAATCCCAGGGCGTCCCCACAGGCACCCATCCCGCCCCGGTGCCGGGCTGGCGGCTGCCAGCGCTCTGCCCCGGGGACATCTCTCTGATCTAGGGTGCCGGGAGGGGACGTCCGGCCCCGGGGTGTCCTCGTGGCGGGTTCATCCATCCCTGCAGCCCCAGGGATGGGGGCTAGAGGGGGGGTTGGGGGGATGGCCAGGGATGTTCCCGGAGCAGGGCCGGGGCTGCGGTGAGCTCAGCCCAGCTTCCCCGTCACGGCCCAGCTCAGAGCCAGCTGGGCTGATGCAACCCCACGCAACCGCCCGCTCGTCACCGTGTGTCAGCCGGCGTTTGGGGACGGGCTAGGGGATGGCGGGGTGGGCAGAGGGGTGTCCCCCCCCCCATCTGCTGCGGTGCCGCTCAGCCCGGCTGCTGTCCCGCAGGATGAGCCCAGCGAGTGGGAGAAGGCAGAGCTGGACCAGGCGCAGGTGGAGCAGCGGATCAAGGAGTACAACAGCCAGATCAACAGCAACCTCTTCATGAGCCTGGTAGGGGGAGGGCGCAGGGCTGGGAGTTTTGGGGGTGTCACGGCGCCCTGCCCTAGCCCCCCCCCCCAAAACTGGTGTCTCTCAGAACAAGGATGGCTCCTACACCGGGTTCATCAAGGTGCAGCTGAAGCTGGTGCGCCCCGTCTCGGTGCCGGCCACCAAGCGGGTCCCCTCCCTGCAGACGGGGCGGCCGGGGCCCCGCAGCCAGGCGGTGAAGCGCCGCACGTCCTTCTACCTGCCCAAGGGGACCGTCAAGCACCTGCACATCCTCTCGCACACCCGCGCCAGCGAGGTCATCGACGCCCTCCTGCGCAAGTTCACCGTCGTCGACAACCCCCGCAAGTTCGCCCTCTTCGAGAGGTCCGAGAAGGATGATCAAGGTACCACCCCAGGGTGGCCTCGGCACCGTAGCGGTGGCCATGTCACCATCGCGGTAGCTTCCCCTGGGTGGGGGTGGCCCCATGGTGGCAGCGTCCCTGGGGTGGTGGTGTCCCCCATGGTGGCAGCATCCCCGTGCCAGTGGTGTCCCCATAGCGGTCATGTCCCACCCTGTGGTGGCAATATATCCCCGTGGTGGTGGTGGTCCCCATGGCAATGGTGTCCCCCATGATGGAAGTGCTCCCATAGTGGCAGTATCCCTGTGGAGCAGTGTCCCCCGTGGCAGTAGTGTCCCCACAGTGGCAGCTTCCCCTGAGCAGCAGCACCTCTGTGGTGGCAGCATCCCTGTTATGGTGGTATCCCCCTCAGTGGCAGTGTCCTGAGTGGCTGTGAGGGGTGTTCCCCATGGTGGTGTCCCCACAGTGGTAGCATCCCCACAGCAATAGCATCGCTATGGTGGCAGTTTCTCTGTAGTAGCAGCGTCCCCTGTGGCAGGGGTGTCCCCATAGTGGCAGCATCTCTGTAACAGAGGTGTCCTCCTTTGGTAGCAGTGTCCTCTGTCACTGTGGGTGTGTCCCCCATGGCAGTGATGTCCCCCATGGCAGTGATGTCCCCCATAGTAGTGATGTCCCCACAGTGGTAACATCCCCATGGCAGCAGCATCCCTGTTATGGTGGTATCCCCCTTGGTGGCAGGGTCCCCAGTGGCTGCGGGAGGGGGTGTCCCTCATGGTGGCAGTGTCCCCTGTGGCAGTGTGTGTCCTCCCCGTGGTGAAGTCCCCATAGTCATAGCATCCCCATGGCAGCAGCACCCCCATGGTGGCAGTATCCCTGTGGCAGGGGTGTCCCCATAGTGGCAGCATCTCTGTAGCAGTCATATCCTCCTTTGGTGGCAGTGTTCTCTGTCACTGTGGGCATGTCACCTGTGGCAGCAGTGTCCCCCATGGCAGCGGTGTCCCCCACAGCAGTGATGTCCCCATAGTGGCAGCATCCTTGTTATGGTGGTATCCCCCTTGATGGTAGTGTCACCTGTCCCCCGTGGCAGCAACGTCCCCCATGGCAGTGGTGTCGCCGTGATGGTGATGTCCCCATGGTGGTGCCCCCGTGACATGGCCACTGTTGCAGTGTACCTACGGAAGCTGGCTGATGAGGAGCAGCCCCTGCGGCTGCGGCTGCTGGCCGGCCCCAGCGAGAAGGTCCTCAGCTTTGTCCTGAAGGAGAACGAGACCGGGGAGGTGAATGTGAGTGCGGGGACAGGGAAGGGACTGGCACCCACACCCCCACAGGGGACGTGGCCGTGGCCAGGGTGGGGGGGAGAAGGGACGGTGCGGCGTCCCCGTTGCGATGGCAGCCCGTGTGCCCGCAGTGGGACGCCTTCACGCTGCCGGAGCTGCACAACTTCCTGCGCATCCTGCAGCGGGAGGAGGAGGAGCACGTGCGCCGGCTGCGGCACCGCTACGCCCGCTGCCGCCAGAAGATGCAGGAAGCCCTGGCCACGCGCACCCCGGGGTGACCACCACCGCCTGCGTCCCACGGGCAGCCAGCGCACCGGGACCCTCGCCCGCCGGCGGGTCGGGGGGCACCAGGGAGGGAGAGGGTGGAATGGGGCACCCCGGGACCCACTGGGCTGTCACAGCCCCCATAGGGCTGGCCCGGGGAGTGAGAGTCCCCGGGGGAGCAGGTGATCCCCAGGGAAAGGGGTGTCCCCGGGGAGGCAGGTGTCCCCAGGGGAGTGGGGGACGGCAAGTGTCCCTGGGGGGAAGCAGGGTGTCGAGCACCAATAAAGGCATCTTGGTGACGAGGCCGAGCCTGCAGCGTGTTCTTGGCGGGGAGGTTGGGGCGGGAAGGGACACGAAGACACACGCAAAACCCACCCCCCAACTTGGTGCCGCCGCGCCGCGGGGGGCTGCACGTGGTACTTGGCGGCAGCGGGAATCGAACCCGCGGCAGCGGCATTCCCGCCGGCGCCAGGCTTGGGGGGGGGGGGGG